GTTGTTGAACAATAAAAGATAGTGCTCAATGTACATGCCAATGGCTGCTAAGGGGGAATGAGAGACAGGAGAATTCGGCTTTAAGTTAACGTGCATGCTGCGAATTTTTTATTGTTCAACAACGCACAGAACACAAGAAAGGGTTGCTACATTATACTTGCTGAGTGTAACCTCCTAGGTTTTAGAAAGGTTGAGCGGGCGTTTGGCCGCAGTGCGATGAATACAGGGAACTAGTATATACCATGAACTCGATGTGGTTAAAGGTGGGAAGTAGACATGAAGCGCAAGCCGTAAGAAAGTGTGCGTGTGCCTCCTCTCGTTCAGTCCTTGGAATGTCCGCTGGATGGTGGTGCTTCTATATGAGGAATATCTGATGAAAAGATGCGAGATGGTGGTACTTAGAGTGTTGAATGGGTGGACAAACGGACACACACACAGATGCATGGACGGACGCATGGGTGGCTGCACGGACGAATGGACGCATAGACGGACGCAGGAGCGGATGCATGGACGAAAGCAGGGACGGACGCACATATGAACGTGCGCATACGCTCGAACAGACGCGCGCACGGACGGGCGGCTGGATGCACGGGCGGCCACACAGACGCACGCATGGATGGACGGAATCAAGAACGAATGGACGGACGGATGCTTCACCCCACTGTCCATCATTCACTCCGTGGATATGCTGCCATTTTTTTTTATGGTGAATGAGCATAAATGTTGCCTGAGAATACGTGTAGCGTATGGTTATGGGAAGCACTATTCTACCAAACGAAGAGGCACGTGGTTTATTTAACCATGCTAACCCGCCACGGTGGTCTAGTGGCTGAGTCACTCGGCTACTGACCCGCAGTTTGCGGGAACGAATCCCCGCCACCGTGGCCGCATTTTCGTTGGGGGTGAAAATGCTTGATGCCCGCGTGCTTAGATTAACGCGTGCTTTAACGCGTGCTTAGGCCCGCGTTAAAGACGTCAGGTGGGCGAAATTTCCGGAGCCATCCACTATACGGCGTCTCCCATAATCATAGGGTAGTTGTCGGACGTTAGACTTCGTCAATGAATCATTAAAGTTTTAACCACTGTGCTGAAGCTTCGCTTCACACACGTTCAAACACGTTCGTTTGATATGCACATGATTCCGTTTCACTATCTGTTTAGATTTACACAATAAATACTCGATTTGTCTCGGAGAGAAAACTACTCACGTTTGAACAGCGCAGAGACAAATCATGAAGAAAGACTAAAAACACGAGTTCTCGCTGACATCAGTAGCTTTATTCATCGCAAGAACAATGTCATCTGTTCCGCTCCGCTGTCATGTGGTAAGGTTTATGTGGGGTAAACGTGACGCTGCCTCAACATACGCCTGCGCAAGCACCATAGCTCTTTAAACGATGTGCCGTTCTCCCATTTGTCTTTCCATAGTGCCGCCTACATGTGGTTGCGTTCCAGAATTTTGCCGCACGACCATCGTCTACAGACGAACTGAATCTCGCAGAGAGATAGCTCAAGTCTTTGGTATCTGCAAAAATGCTAGGTGACGCACGTTAGCGCAGCGTTGATTGCATTACTTGATTGCGAGCTGAGGTATTTGGAGAAGGCTTATGGATGCTACAAGTGCAGTATTTTGTCACGTACATAGGGTTCGCGCACATATTTTGCTCTCCTTTCTTCTCTTTGCATTTCTGTTTGGCTTGAATAAAGCAATCAGTCGTCAGCCAGAGCTCGTGTTGCTTAGTATTACTTCGCGATTCATGTCTGCCTCCTCAAGCATGAACACGAGCCAACTAGCTCAACTTCCCATTTTGCTGAGACGAGTACTTTACAACACACTGCGACAACTGGACGATCGGCCACTTTCGCTCAGCTGCAACTGGAACTCCGTCCCCATCTCTCGTCGACTCACCAGACACTTTCGTGCCTTTTGAGGACGATATGCTTGTGCGAACGCTTCTGACTTGTAGTGAAGTCCATCACGCTTCAGATAATTCATTGCTCGTTCCTCCCCCCCCCCGTCTCTCACATTTTTCTGGTCTCCTTCCTTTTCCCCCAGTGTAGAACAGGAAGTTTTCTGATTAAGATCTCTAGCTCCTCTATCTCTGTTTCTTTCCTTCCTTGTTATCATGCCTAGTGGCCCATATAGAGCAATTTACCGCCCTCTAGAGAATACTTTATATGACACTTTGAATACCGCGAAACCCCGAGCAATGGACCTCCCTCCCTTGTGGTGAAATATAATTGGACAAGATTAGAAGGGACCCTTGCTCCATACAGATGATGGAGCTGCAAGTTTCTGAAAGTTGCAAGAAAGAACTATGGCATGGTGATCCTTTAGCCACACTGGAAATCATGTTTAGTGCACGAATTTGCCCAGTCTTCGTGCTTGTGGGTTCAAACACACTTGTGGCTTTACCTATCAGTCTTGTTTTGGTTTTGTTTCGGACAAAAGAACTAACTCTCTTGAACTTCATGACCCGATTTAAATCGGTGATTCTAATAAGGTCAAGGTGGCTAAACTGCTGAAATTTTGTTGAGCTTTGCCATTCAGCAAAGCGGATTAAGGCCGAAGCCGGAAGTCGGAAAATAAGACAAATTTGTGTAGTACCCCACGTTCCCATGATGGCTGAAGTGGCGTGCGTTGCAGCTCCTACGGATACTGTAGTGCCAGAGTTCCCTCTAGTCTCCTTATAGGAAAGGCAGTGCCTTTTTGAGTCGTGGAAAGATACCTAAAATGACGGCAGAAGGGCCTTTAAGAAGAATGCATACCTTTTTTCAATGCTGTGCTGAACACACGTGCTTTTTCTGCTTTTACTGCATCGGAGGGAATCCTAGGGTGAAATTTAATAGGCTGTGACAAGGCCGAAAAGACGCTGTTCTGGTGTTCCGACGGTTTGTGCCAACCCAGAATGCAACCCCGAGGTGCCACAGTCTAAATGCACTCAGAAATTGTGCACTCATCTAAAGACTCTTTTAACTTGGCTTCCTGGAAACTGCTGCTGCAGGATTCTACTGAGAAGAAAAGGTTTTATAAAACAGTGGTAGAGCAGACATGGGGCGCTTGCTTGGGATTTCCCGGTGGTTCAACATCAAGATTCATGTCGGATGATAAGCCGCGTCCGAAGATGTGATAGTGGGTAGCAAACACGTGTACTCGCACCAGGTTTCACACCATGAGAATGGTAGTGGTGGTGGTGGAGGCAGAAACATTGGAGAAAATGTACAAGAGAGTTACGGCATATTGCATGCTTGAGTGGCAAGACGTGGGATGGAAATGGATTTGGCCGCTGCTCGAGCACGCCTCACCAAGGAGCGTTGAGCATCCAAGGTCGAGCAGCCGAGCAGGTACTCCTCCCAAGCCTCTCTAATTGGGATGGGAAAAAGGAATGAAAAAGGAAGGGGGTTGGTTGGGCACGAAGCGATGTTATGGTAGGTGTTGGCCAGGACCTGGCAGGTCGAGCAGGTGCCACTGATTTCCGACAAAAAATGCATGGCGACCGCCGTACTGAGATGGGTGTTCGTCTGAAGGCGGCGTAATATTCGCTCGTCCGCTTTCTCCATACCACGTGCGGGGTCCGGGTAGAGGTGGCGCGAAGCCCGGTAATAGGCAAGAATTTCGCGAAAGCGCGTCAGATTTGTATTGCCAGATTCTGACTCGGGACATGCAAGGGCAACGGCTCGGATGAGAGAAGCACGGACAGCGGCGTTCGCCGTCTCGTTGCCGGACAGGCCCGAGTGGTCTGGGTTCTGTACTATACGAATGGGGTGAGGGTTATAGTGCCAAGAGGCTGCTTAGAGTAGGTGAGCTGCCAGCGGGGCGATGGAACCCCGAAGGTATTGGGAACAGGCTGAGCGCGAGTCTGTTAGGGTGATCTTGAGGTGGAAGGCGAGGAGGCCAAAGCAATGGCAACCTCCTCAGCTTTCGTCACAGTGTTTGGTTCCAAAGGAGAGGCCATCGACGTGTTTTCCCTCTGTGATCACGGCGGCCATGAAGTGACCTGAGGGGGAGGGGCCCGTGACGTCTGCGTAGAAAACGGCTGAGTGGTCGGAGTGTCGCATCTGAAGGGCCACAGAACGTGCTAATGTCTACGATCGGGATGTAGCTCGGGGTTCATTTTGCGGGGTAGTGGTTCCACCCATAGTTTTCACCGCCGAAGTTTCGTATGGGCGTCGGAGTGTCTTGATCAGAGATCGCCGGTAGCCTCAATACGAATAATTGGTTTAAATATGTTGACTCATTACACAGAGCTGAGCCATAACTCGTCATCCACATCAACACCAACAAAATGTGCAGCCGCGTAAGTGCAAGTGTCTCCCCGCAAGCGCATAATGGACATTTCGCGAAGAGATTATGAATTATGACACAGTGGGTTCCATACGGCTGTACTTGCAGTAAGTAGGCAAGTTTAGACAGGGCTCTTAGAAGGTCGCCGCTCCAGCTATCACTGTGACCATGATGCTTGTTGTGTGCAGGCTTGCGGTTTTTCTTTAATGTGTGGAGGTTGTACTTCCTCGTTCTTCGGCTGTGTATACTCCGTTTTTTTACCCCTGGTGCAACGCTGTGGATGGTAGGTAGACCTTGGGGCAGATACATTCGAACAAAAAAATTCAATTAGTTCAATCAGTTAAATAAACTTACCACCTATAATTGTTTTGTTATTTGGCTAATAGATGTTGGTGTTTTGTGATTTATAAGTTAGTAAACCCTATTAATTGTACTGTCGTAAATTGAATTTTTTTGGAATGATTAGCTTTTATTTATTATTCTTTCCTGTCTTAGCCTCAGCGATTAGCTTTAACAGCGCGCACCCAGAGGTAACCACGAAGGTCAGTCACGAACTTCGTGAACCTACTCATATTTCCGAACAAACCTAGTGCACAGCGTCCACTGTGTCGCACATATGTAAGAAATTGATAATTATGTATTCCTATTTTCACAAGCATCCTGACTTATGTAATTAACCTTACCTAGTCTCAACGACGGCTTGTTCTTTTCGCAGATGTCCTGGTGCCTTGCTTGGCCATGGTGTTCCTCCTGCTGGGAAACGCCATCGTCGTTGTCATCATCTTAAAACTAAAAAAGTAAGCAGCCCACTTGTTCTTAACACTAATCTGAATGTCAACACTAACGAGCTGAAAGCTTTCCGCTATCCGGAGGATTGGTTCACATCGCTAACTGTACCGCACCCATGAGTTAAAGGCGGGAAGTGTGTAGTGGTGTTGGAGGTGTTGGCAAACAGTTATTAAGCTAACAGAGAGATTGCAAGAAAAACGAGCCTCTAGTGGGTGAGCACCGTTACAGTTCAATGTGGAGTCCCTAGTCGGGCACCCTATGGCTCGTGGCCGCTGTCCTGGCACGCCGGACCATGGCTTGTTGGGCCGGTAGGTCCCGGCAGCCAAGCAGGGCCACCTCGCAGTCCTTTCTGGTTGGATTGAGGTTCGAGAGTAAAGAAGGATTAGGCTGGCATGCCTATACCACGTGGTAGGCGTCAGCCACCACCGCAGAGTGCTGGCAGAGGCCCGAAAAGGAAGAGGCAAGTGCCCCAAAAGTAAAACGTACACAAGCTGTGGCCGAACGGGGCGAAACTCCATTCCAGCGCGCTCTATCAGAAGATGTGCGGTAGATGGTGAGAGTTTGTTGTATATCCGGCTAACCCATCCCGATATTCTGACGCTCGCCTTATCGCTGGCTCGAGCGAAACCGCGTTGTTATACCGTGACTGTTCGTCAGGGGACTCTTTCAACGCTCTATGCATTTGTTTGCCCACGTTGCGACAAAATGTTTGGAGGCATGCGTTTTGTTCATCGCCAAGGACGCCACCACTCTCTCCCCTGACGAGTAGCAATGGTAGTAGCGCAACATTCGATTTATCCATGGATAAAAGGCACTGCGCCGTGTCGCCTGTAGGCAGACAGAAATTAGGTGCCTTCTTCCTTTTCCTCATGAACCACTAACAACAACATCGATAAGGCAAGCATCAGAATGTCGGAATTGGTCAGCCGGATATACCTACGCAATCTCGCTGTAAGAAGCGAATCTGCTGATAAAGCGCGCTTCCGTGTGATTTCGCCCTGCTTCGCTAGTTTCATCCCGTTTGGGCGCAGCTTGCGTGTGCAGTTTTATTTTTGGGGCGCCGTAATTAAAGGGTTCCCAAACAATATCTGAAAATACAAAAAAAAAGCAGGCGCGTTATCCTCTCGCGCCGTTTGCCCCTTTTCGCGACACAATTCATGACGCGAGCTGTTAGTTCAGGTTGTGTCAGGATCAGATGAACTCTCGATTGGTTGATACACGAAAGACATCTGTTGTGAGTAGTTGCCTATACCTGTTTTTCCGCGCAGTCACATGCCCGTTCTTTCTAGTCGCGCATGACCATCCTGCGCGCTAAACTGATTTCACTCATTTGCGACTGCGCAAGTGAAGATACCAGCGCGTAGTCACCCATCGCGAAATCCTCACTAGCGCAGCGCGTAGTGGTGACGTTGTCCACGCCCCGCCGCGGTGGTCTAGTGGCTAAGGTACACGGCTGCTGACGCGCAGGTCGCGGGATCAAATCCCGACTGTGGCGGCTGCATTTCCTACGGAGGCGGAAATGTTGTAGGCCCGCGTTCTCAGATTTGTGTGCACGTTAAAGAACCCGAGGTGGTCGAAATTTCTCAATCGACGTTGTCCACACGTTTCATGATGAAATAAGTGGCGAGGAGGATATATCGCTTTAAAGAAGGGTTGTAAAGGCGAGAAACTAACTACTGTCCCGCCTTTGAACTCGGTAAGGTTTAGGCAACCATTAAGACGCATACCGTTATCATTCGCTCGACCTTCTAACTGACGGCTCAAGGCAGTTTAGACAAAACAACAAAGCAGCGCTTGAAATCCGCTCTTTGCGTTTTCGCGTATTGCTAGCTAATCCTAAACGATATCCATGGCTGTTTACGAGACACCTATGGTCGCTTTAAGGTGTGCGCGTTCAACATTTACTCTTCATATAATCCTACTACGCATGATTTCCGCAGACATGACCTAAACAAACGTGCAAAAAGGAATAGAAGGCGTATCGTCGGTTTTAGGCGCGAAGCTCCTTAAGCTGTGGGTCATGCGTCCCCGATGTATGTATGTATGTATGTATGTATGTATGTATGTATGTATGTATTATGTATGTATGTATGTATGTATTGTATGTATGTATGTATGTATGTATGTATGTATGTATGTATGTATGTATGTATGTATGTATGTATGTATGTATGTATGTATGTATGTATGTATGTATGTATGTATGTATGTACGTATGTATGCACGTATGTATGTATGTATGTACGTATGTCTGTATGTATGTAGCCACCTCTCGTTTGGGCCTTGGAATGTCTGCTGAATGTCTGCTGAATACTTGTATATGAAGAATAAATGATGCGAGATAGTGGTACTTGGAGTGTTCGCTAGATGGATGGAAGAATGGACAGACAGGCAGACAGGCAGAGACGAACGGAAGCAAGAACCAACGGATTTCGTCCCGCTCATCATCATTCACTCCGTGGATAAGCTGTGATATTTTTTTTACCAGAATTGAACCTGTTATGCACTGGTGGAACACCTTCCGCGAACATGTTCTTTGCTCTGGTTGTGTTCTTCTGTACCCCTGTCAGAGAACTACTAACCCCCCCCCCCCTTCCTCGTAACCCCATGCAGCGCGACATTGTGCAAACTGTTCAGAACAAGCTTTCGACGATTCATAGGACGACTTACTCTACTATTGTCACTTATATAACTGAAGAAGCTGTGATTTGGAAAAAAAAGTAGTTAACAATTTAGAGTTCTTATTACTCTACTATGGGAGAGCATAGAGCCGCCCCGTGGGCCTCAAATAGGGGGGCGCTGCGAGCGCTCGATGGTGACGGACGCACTCTACATCGCCTCCGTAGATTTTCTGCTATTTCTGCGGACATCCACCTTGGTAACCCTGAAACTTGGATTTATCGTCACCGCCAAGTTCTCCGCTTCGCCTAGACAACACCTTCGTCCAGGTGGGTCCAGTTTTGACAACTTGAGGGACATCCTTCACTCCCGGCTACAACGCCGCCTCGCTAAGGGCTCTCAGCCCGGCGATGGCGGCCGCCAACGTGGTTACGGGCTATGATCCTACCTCAAGCCAAGTGCTGTCCATGGAGATTTCATCCTCCGTAAACACTATGCCAACAGAAGATGAATACCTCGAAGACATGGTGAGACTGTGGCAACGCAAGCAAGCCAAATCAAAGTCTGCGTCTCAACAACAACGAGACGCCACAGCTGGCCGCCATTCCCCAGCCTTGCAAGGAACGCCGGCGCTCCATCCCTCCGGTGGTGTGCCTACCTCTGCTCCGTCCTCGCAGCCAGCGAAGCAACGCAAGTGGCGTCCACGTCAGACTCCTCGCCTCTCTCGCGACGACTACATCGTAGTAGTTAAACCTCGCGTTCCCTGCGAGCTACGCACATTTGTCCCGGCCGATCGCGCGGGCGACGCCATCCGCAGCTACCTCGGCGACCGGACTACCACGCAAATTCAAGTGTGGCCAATCTGGGAACAGAACATCTTGGTCTGTAGAACCACCATTTTGCCAATGGCACAGCGACTCCTCGGGGACTTCCAGCTGCAAGTGGGGGATCAGCAGCTGCCCGTTCGAGGCCACGCCAAGGCACCAGGGGATACATGCAAGGGCGTCATCAACGTAAACCCTGCTGAAAGCCCGGAGAAGATAAAGTCTGAACTGTATTGGCCTCGAGGTACTATCCTTGCGGTCCGCAAACTCGGATATTCCGCGGCGGCGGTGGTGACTTTCGAGGGCACGAAGTTACCCCGCTTCCTCTTCAACCACTGCGTGGCGACGTATATCCGCGCCTACAAGAAAACGGTCCCTGTTTGCACCAAGTGCGGTACCATCGGCCATCGACCACCTCAGTGTCCTCACCCCGCTCCAACGCAGTGTGCCAAATGTGGAACCCCCGCACCTGCAGGTCTCAATTCCCATGACTGCCACCCCAAGTGCCTTCTCTGCCACGGCGCCCATGAGACTGGGACCAGTGGCTGCACGGCAAAATATCGAAAATATCGGAAACGCAAGCAGCCCTCAACATCTCCTCGAGGGACCACCTCATGTTCGTCACAGCCAGACAGCAGCACCAACCTGCATCATTCGGCTCCACCACTCCACGCCGACACTCAAGCATTCCCACCGCTCGAAGCACCAGCAGCGGTACCTCAGGTGAGCAGTTGGGCAGGGAAAGCTGCTTCTAAGCCTCTCTCACCCCCTTCTTTCGATCCTCCTTCTCCCGAACTTGCGGCCCTTCGCCAGCAAGTTGCGGCACTTCAAAAGCAAAATTCTCTTTTAACTAAACAACTCGAACTCTTAAATAAGCGACTTCAACCCCAACAACAGTGTACTGCAAGGCCATCCGGTATTGCCTCCTCGGTCCAGGCGGCTACGCCAGCTACGTCCAAGCTTAGTCCTCGCGCTAAGTCCACTCCCATTAAACCGCCGGTTCAAGCAGCCATGTGTACTCCAGCATTCGGAACCGGTGCCACATCTACTCCAGAAGCTCTTGAGGCTCCTGGGGCACCCCAGGTTCTCTTGCCCGCTAACCAAACTCTCCCTAGCGAAGAGCGCACCCCGCGCGTATAGGAATGCCTCACGCGCGTCGAAGCTTCGATTAATCACCTCCTCACCAGCTTCTCGGTCCAACGCATAGTAGTAGAAGTTACCCAGACTATTCAAGCCTGGGCAATCACCCAGTTTCAACCCAAGGCATCGCGTTCCCGCTCCTGCTCGGTGAGCAGTGAGGGTACAGCTCCACGGCGTCGTCGTAAGGTGGCTACCACCACCGCGCCGTCGGACAATCCAGCCTCCATGCCCCTCCCTGCCTCTGAGGATTCCGAGCGGGACATGGAGGACCAAATATAAAACCTAAGACAGTCACGATGGCTACCAATCGTACGTCCCGTTCAAACATTGCGTCTAAATTCGAGATCATACAGTGGAACCCTGGAGGCTTCGGGAACAGGCGAAAGCGTTCACATCTTTCTCTTTTCCTCAGCTCACTTGGCTCT